GTTTTATTAAAAAAGCACTGCAGGAAAGAATCTTTTAATGTTGTCGTCTAACGGTATTTATTACAGAAACTATGAGAAGGACATTTCGGTTACATTTAAGGTGCGAAAGAAAACCACAAACTTTCTTCGCTGAGTGGCTTTCGGTCTTACAAAAATAGACCAAAATTTATTTCACGCGGTCACAAAATATAAATGTAATAAGAAATCTAACAGATCATTTAAATGACCAAAAGATATACTCTTCTCATAGTACTCGTATATACAGGTTCATGATCTTCACTTTATCTTCCCCTCTGCGCTCAGTGGTAGGTCTGTTTCTGTGAGACTTTTCTTCAGAAATGTTTAAGCATTTCTCATTTTTTTCCCAGCGCTAAATGCGACACATGTAGACAATATTTTCTACACCAAAGAGCACCAGCCTAAGGTTCGTCTGAATAATATTTACAATCCACTTTCTACGTCATAAAACAATGGGCCTCCAGTACTGTTTACTCCGAGCATAATAAAATTGTCACTGTGCTTAACTAATTAAGTACTACGCTATGAGGGCGAATGAGGGAGTGCACGACGCATAGATCCACATTTTCTTGACCTCGGCACTTGGAGGTGAGTGGTCAGCTTCACTCCCTGGCCACTTTACCCCGGGGGAAAAGCCCCAGTACCCATTGGAGAGGAGGTTGGTTAAAGCTCCCAGAGCCGGTTTGAACGACGTAGAGAAAATTCTTGACACTACCAGGACTCGAACTCCGACCCCTCAGTCGTCCAGCCCGTAGATTATGAGCATAATAGGAAATATATAAAACACTGTGAGAAAATGCTGAGTTAAAGAATGTTAAAACACATGGTACATACTGTGACATGTTGCGCAACGGAGGACACCCACCTCCCCAGCGGTACGTGGCGGTAACGTAGCGCTCGCGTTAGTATGGTAATAGGCGAGTCCCTGCCCCGCCACTCTCCCCACGGTGATGTAACGCGCAACGCGCGGTGACGCGGCACCACTTCCTACTGTGACCTGGCACGTAACAGGCACACACAGTATATTAACTATTCTTCATTTTAACTTATACTTTATTGGGTGAAAATATGATATAAGTTTCGAGGTATCAAAATGTCTTCACCAACACGTTGTTCAAAAATATTACTCATCTATATCGGCTTAACAGACTGAGAAACCGATGTATGCAAAATATTAACATATAAAACAATAAAACAATATCGTCGTATAAATTCAGGTGCTCCAAAATGTAAACTACGTGTACTAAAGATTAAATAATGACCACTAGGAATGTTGTGCCAAAATATCCATAATGACATAAATGAGCATATTTCCCTTTGAATTGGGGGCACGCGTTAACGTAGTTAGTTCAGGCACTGTGCTACAAACCGAAAGGTCTCGGTTTCGAGTCTCGATGTCATTTGATTTTTTTTTCAATTATCCTAATCCTTCCAGCCGCAAAATGGCCCTAGGATCGACTCAGCCTCTAACAGAAATGAGCAGCCGGAATCTTCCTGGGGGTAAAGGGGGCCGGTGGGTAAGGCTGACAATCTGAACGCCGTCTGCTAGCCGATTTCTAGAAAATGTGGGAGCCTCGACGTATCACAACCCTATCGGCCTTCACGGCCTGTTACAGGGATAGTTTTATATTCTTTATTTCCAATATTATATTTAAGCACCCTGTTGTACTCCTTACAACTCCGTCTTCAGCGAAACCATATATTATAGGTCTTTCGTTTTGCTCTCCTGTACACACTACATGTTTCGGCCATAAACGGCCATCATTAGGTGTATTACTCACGTATCTGTCACACTGCACTTAGTTTAACATTTAAAATTTAAAAACACAGGTTTTCTTGATTGTTCTTTTCGTCGTTATTACCAAAATGTATTTGTTTGATGTCTTTGTTATTTACACACGTCAATTTTGATTTCTTTGAATTAGCACTTATAAAATCTTCAGTTCTAATTTTAAAATCTTTTCCAATTTTCCTCTAAATTTAAAATTTAAAAATGTCAGGGTTACTTGCCCTATGTCTATAGTGCTGCAGCGGCTACTTCTTGTATCTAGTACCGTACCGGCATTATTCTGTGTAGTCTCTCTGTGTGCGTGCCGCTGCTTGTCTTTACTACGTGTGCAGACTGCAGACTCAGTCTGCTTTTACCGATTCTCACGGTCTATTCGCTTACGAATTTCTTATATTTTTCCTTCTACCCTGAAGATGGAGGCAATACATTCCTCCGAAACGTCGGTTAACACCACATATACACGGCGCCAAATCCCAGAAAACTGCTTTCTTCATAGTCACCGCCATGAAAGCCTCAAATCTTACATAGATTTTTGGAAGTTTCATTTCAAAGGACGAAATTTATGATATAACATCGTGACTTTTGCGGGACGTGTTCGGCAAAGTTTCATCTATTCTACGAACTAGCGTACGTCTCTTCTAGCACAAGCAATCTCTCCTATGTATGAATACCGAGACTACGTTAAAAATATAATCTAGTCACTTCACAATGATGATGTAACGTCGTACGTCACAAACTAATCAAGACGCATCCTCATTCCTATAGTAGATGTGGTAAAGTAGTTTTGAAATAAGACTGCTGAATGTTGCAGGAATTAATGGCTGATCGAACAAGCAATTGGGCCAGAGTTTGGTGAAATGCTGATGGTGCACAAGTGTGTTTTTTAAGGGGGAGTAAGTAGGTAAAAAAAAGTGTGACTATGGGGACACAAAATCGGGAGCAACCAATGGACAGACAGAATCGGTGGGGGAGATGAAACAGCACTTGAACCTCAACGACAATCTATGGCTACTGCTTGGTAACCACCAGTTTCTTGAACACCGCTGATTCAGCTAGTGTGAGTGGTTGGAAGAGCTGAGTAGGAACTATAATAAAAAACATAACAGGCTGCATACATGACAGTTGGAATATGATATTGCTTACGTACATATCAAAATTATTATAATGAGTGAAGAATGTGGTGTCTTACTTAGTGATTACAATCCGGAAAGGGCGGTAGGTGAGACAGCGCTCGTCAGAGTGCACTAATTTAGGTACCTTTCCCCACCAATGACCGTAGCGTCCAGGTCATCCAGGTTGCCATGAGCTACAGACGTTTCTTCCTGGTGTTCCTTGATGATATGATATGATATGAGTGCCGGCAGTGGGGTGAACACTGGTCAGGCTTTCTATTCTTTTCCTCCGTTTCTCCCACAGATAGGACATTTAATTTATTACAACTGAGTAATTCATCTGTAGTCCTAATTGTTCGGTTTATCTAAATATGGAATGAAAATAGAAAGTTTTATTTTCTCGATTCAAATAAAGATTCAATTTTGTTCTCGGAATTGGCTGTGCATATTACGTATCTCATAAGCCACAGTAATTATTAATTTCTTATGTGCAGAATGAGGGAGCAGATAGATTCTATGTGTCAAAAATTGTGCTTTCATATGAGTGTCGTTGAAAATAAAATACAATTTTGTTCGTGCTACCAGGAGAGTGGTTGCAATTCCATATGACCTCACTTCAAGACCAGGATTCACCAATGCTAATAACTTTACTGCTAACCCGAAAACATCAACTCTCCAGTATCAACAGAGATGATAATATTCTAGAAGCTTGGTTATAAATAAAACAGATGAGAAGAGGAACAAAGGATGCCTTTCAAGAAATACACTGATCTAGCTTCTGAAATAAAACGAATGGGGATGCTTGCTTGCAGAAGTAAAAGCTCCGCTATTATTTCTTTAAGAAACAGGTTTAGGAGTGAGCTAACACACCGCAGCGACACGGAACAGCGCTGGGCAGGAAGCTACACTCTCGACAGTTTGCATAGCAGACATTCTCAGAGCTGGGTAGTCCTCAATTTTGTTATTAAACTTACAAGCACAATAGCGACCTCCGTAGTCTAGGGGTAACGTTCCGACCTCATGACTCAAGGTACGCGGGTTCAAACCCGGCGGAGGTCGTGGAATTTTTAATGGCGGGAAAATTCAGGGAACAAGTCCTCCGGGAGGGACTTCAAGCCGTGGGTCCCGTGTCGTAGATTTACGGCACGTAAAAGATCCTCATGTCTCTAGGAGACCTCTGAGCTAAATTTGGCAAAAAAGTTTCCCGCCCAAAGTAGTTTCCAATGCCTCCGGTAGATGGGGAAGTATCAGGTACCACTGCCAGAGGAGGGGGGACCTCTCTGACAGAAATGGACTAAGTATTAGATACCACTGCCAGTAGAAGGTTGGAATCTCGCTGGCAGAAAGGGGCTAATAGTGAGCACCAGTACCGGTAGGGTATGGAGACAGTAGAAATTAAAAGGGGGACGCACAATGGACCAATAACTGGTCTAAGTGCATGGGGAAACCCACCCCCTCTATACTCAATACTCAATACAAGCACAATGCTTTTATCTGGATGGACCTTTTTCAAATTATTTGCTCTTACATGTCCCGGAATACTGTAGAACACCATAAGCTATATCTCAAAATTCAACATTTATGTTGCGATGTTTGCACGCGGCACGACGTCCTTCATCTGCTTTACAAACCATGCACTATGTAGTTCAAGCAATTTAAAATTCCATAATTGTGATGCCATGTTTGCAGAAAACATAATCCTAACTTTAATCTTGTCGCTCACAGGTTCCCTGAAATAGCCTATCCACTTTATACCTTACCTGAAACTATGAATTTAATATGATTATAAATAACACTGACAATTTTCTGTGACACTTTCCAAGTTACGAAGTAGATATATGGCTTTCAAACGGATATTAGCCTACTTCTTTGCATACCATTGGTATGTGTAATTCTCAGTCATGTCATCTTTTGACGTTTTAAGGTAACAATCTGCAGCATTCATGAAAATTAAATTCTATATTTATCACGAATATATTCTGCTAGACATCTGATGATGTAAAGGGTTCAACATTAAGCAGAATAAAATGCCGCATTCTGCCAATACTGCGCCTTCTAGAAATTTCAGTGGCCGCTCTTACCTGCATGTTGCATATCTTGTACCGCACGGCTTCGCCTTTGCAGCCCGAGGGCGAGTTACAGCGTCGCAGTTGATATGAGGCACCCCCATCGCAGGTACGGGAACAAGTGCTCCAGTCGGACCAAGGGGACCACCCAAAATCAAACCGACCAGCTGACGCACGGCGATCAGCTGTTGGTTGCTGAAACAAGAAAGTAATAATATTGTGAAATGTCCGATGACAGCTGAAATAGAGAATCCAGAAAATACATCCATTGCTAAGCAACGGCACGGTAAACACGTCTCCGTGGTAACGAATAACCGCCCAAAAACAGAGGAATAGATAGAAGCGGTGTTTCCTGTGCGGTCCGTGCCAAGGCTATACAAGGAAAAACAAATGGATTGTTTTAGCCATCGAAAATATGAGTTACCGTCATGGGTTAGGTGCGAGGGCGTCACCAGCCAGCGAGGAGAGGAACAGTTGAATGCTGTCGGAACTTCGGCGTTTGTTACAGAGACGTACTTACAGGAATGTATATGGCGTAAGATAGTGGCTTATCTTCCGCTTTCGACATTGAAACACAGTGCCACAGGCATATGCGTATGCAATCACAGTTTGATCAATGCATAATAGAGATCGTGGCTATGAGTATATATATATATTCTCCTAGGGAACCAAATTGCAATCAGAGTACTAGACAATTATGAAATCAGCTCCAAATTAGACACAGGGGAATTTAAGAGATAAAATTTTAGATGAGCTATCAAAAGCAGGAGCTGAACGTTCACCTTAGTACTCAGATCCGCCTAAGGTATCTCAGAAAGGGACGCTAGATGGGCCACCTAGGACGGCATGAGCATAAAATAATATAATTAACGTACAGTCCACACCTGAACGAAATAATCGAAAGGATTCCTTCAAGAAACATCTGTAAAAAGAACTAGGGAGCTACTAGACGTAAATAGGAACCAGATGAAAAAAGTGATAGCACTATCTCTATGGCACTGTCACTTTAAGCGAGAAATATTAAAACTGGACTGGTAAATAGCCTGGCCTGCGAAAGATGTCGTGACAAAAAGCGCCTTACATTTCCCATGAGACTGCGAGTTTCTAGATGAATAAAGGTTTAGTCTCGCCTAGGAATACATTTTACGGAATTAAGTGACAATAGTAAGGACCCATTAAGCAGAATACTGAATCACTGAACCTTATCCTGAGGCAAACTCCTAGCGAGTTCCTGTACCATCATGCAAAATTTGGTTGAGATTGATCCAACGGTGTGGTAATTTATAGAGAATAAATATGCAAATAAAGCCAACACACATTCTCCTTTGTAGCGACAGAGATGGTTTCATTTAACATACAGTCGCTTAATCTGCATGACGTAGACTGAAAGACCCGCCAGTGAATAATGAACTGAAGATCATGCGAAGGGAAGCAATCGTGGCCTGATTTCGGTTGCTAACTTATCATTTGTCTCGAGGGTCTGAAACAATGAGAAGTGTTATGATACCTCCAGAATATGACTCAGTATTGCTAACAGCCCTAATAATTTCGTATATATTTATCATTTCTTTTATCGTGCATATGAATAAGAGAAAATGGCGATGTTATGGACATGCATAAAATGCAGAGAATTATTTATTATGTAGGTATGAAAATATTTCTTGAAAGTAACGACACTCAGTTTTGCCACAACAAATAATAAGAAACAAGATAATATAATTTTGCATGTGTATGTGGTCGCGGAATACTCCCACACGCACATCTGTTATTCTCGTAAATCTGCCCCATACAATTTCTCATATAACCTTTCATCACGAACGGTTGGTAGAGCACGATTATTCATTAAGATGAGTGGCTACATTGAAATCAATATTTCAGCGTTTCGCTGTGAAAGGCTTCATTTGATATGGCCTACTAACCTCAATTGTCTGCAACGACTGATTTAGAATTAAGGTTAATCACAGAAAAGGAAGGCGTATTACATATCTCAACAGCAGCAAATCTTTAAAACAAGTTGCGGAATACTGGCAAACCGGAACATTTTTGGCGAGTTCTCTCGCTTTTTTCTTTTAACAATATCTGGAATTGTTAAGACTTATGGAGAAGCACGTAGAGCATGAAACATGTACTGAATATTTCTATCTTCCGCTTAAAACCCATTTCGCCCGGATTAATATTTAGCGAGTTAAAATCGAGATGCAGACAAAGATGTGAGTATTAATGCAAGTTGTCCGGTGTTGCTGCCCAGTGTTTATATAAACTCAAATAAATAGTTGCCATGTGGAATATAACGCCAAATATTCCTCAGGAAGTCAAATGATTTTGGGGAGAAATATTTCTTATTCAAGGCTGAAGAGTAAGCGAAACAGGAAACCAGCATGAAGCAGGCAGCAACCAAACCTAACCTAACTCTCCAGCTCCAAATATGGAGGCGATATTTTCCTCCGGCATTACATCAAAGAAGACACAACTCTTTTTAACCACCGTTGTGAGAACTATAAATCTTAAAAAAAGTTAGATATTTCGACAAATTTCAATAAAACATTTCCACGTCAAATTTCGTGAATATTTCCTTATCACGAAAACGGGAATGTCATTAATTTTCGTCTAATATGTTTCTGTTCTTGAGCGCCTTAGTTATCATACGTGTAAATTTTCTGTATAGAATTAAAATACAACGTAAAATTAAAAATGGAAGCCGAGATAGCTCAGTTGATATAGTGATGGGCTACGGTCTGGACGGCCATGGTATCTGGATTCGATTCCAGGCAGGGGAAAGAGATTTTTCTCTTCTTCACACGGTCCCAACCGCATCTTTGGCTCACCCAAGCTCACACCCAGTGAGTTTCGGGAGATTTCTTACGAAGAGTAAATCAGTCTGAGCACGAAGCTAAGCGCTCACTTCCATTAGTACCGAGTGCATTAAGCCGTACATTAACATTCCTCGTATGTCTTCATGGCTTGGAGCTTAATTAATTAAGTACAGAGACAAATTTACCTTTACCATTTACAACTGAAAATGTTCGGTTTGCCTACTTTTAGGCATACGTAGGCCTATTAACAAAATCAGCACAATTCGCACCAAATATCACAGTCAGTTGGTGATCCTAAAATCTAAAGGTTCTTGATGATTGCGTATATTACCAGGCAAATGCACCAATGCACTTGGTTTTGTTCGCTAGGCTTTTAGCATAAATTTCTACCTCCTTTCTATCATAGTTCCAAGCATGTGCGTGATTTTATCACAATTGTTATTGCATATTTTCTTGTTATGTCCCGCAGAATTAGTCTAGCCTCAGTTGAATAAATGGCTGTAGTGAAGCCGACACGGGCTTTCCAGTGATTGAGGTTAGTTCTTTCTAGCCTCAGGACGGAAAGAGATCCAGTTTCTGAAACGTTGTGTTTTCTAGTTTCTAGGATACTGGACAATTGACCAAGTACAAAAACCCTGCAATTCTGAGATAGTACTGCTGCTTCTTATTCTAGAATTTATGGGTTCAAATCTTTGACTGGAGACTGGCGGTCATGAGGGAAGGTTTTCATTGGTTTTCCTCAGTCCCTTCAGGAAAGTACCGGGATCAACATCATCTTCAAGGAATTGATTTGTTACTTCATCCTGCATTATCAGAGATATCCTAGAACTGGTTCTGCCACCTTCTCACTGGTTTTCTCCTTCGATTTTTCCCCTTGATTTCAAATTAGGATCCGGTCGCTTCCTTCCAGATCCGCATGAATTCGGAATTCAAGTAAAAGTAACTTCTGACTCTGTCCAGTGAGTTTAGCTTTGATACAACCTGTCTGCATCGGCAGTAAATTGACATGCAGTCCAACAAGGCGTTAGAAAGATCAAAGAAGCGACCTAAGATACAGTATACATGCGTTACTGCAAATCGTGTGGTTGGGTTCAGTATTTACCTGAGAAGGGTGCAAAGGCAGACAAGCCGTGTGATCTCCTTAAGAGGGGAATATTGCCTCAGGATGTTTCGTGTCCATCAACGTCATCTGATCACTTTTACAGTCCAGTATTCAAACATGGAGAATATGCCACACTGTGAAACTGGGGAAATCTATTACAGAGAGGAACAAATCCATTTTTCTTACTTTCTATAAGTCGTGCCATGAGTCAGAGGGAAATAATAAAGAAAGTATAAAAATTCTGCACCACGGCCAGATAAAAACTGACACATGTGTACACTCTGACAGCTATACGTACAACACACATGCCCTTACTGTCAGTTGTGTTGCATGATAGCAAGGGGTTCCTGTTACAGCAGTTTATAAACCCCGGGGGTAACGACGCATTCTAAGAGGCAGTGCTGACCTTGAGGAGAGCTGATACTCTGTGAAAGAGTTGGGCTGGGTACCTGAAGACGCGCGACATAACGATACATATCAGCCGTAACTACTGGTTCGCTTGCTGGATAGAATTTTCACGTTAAACATTTAACAAGGTATGCGGGGCGCACCCTGTCATTAACGGTCAGTGGCGATACAGAATCTAGTGGACAGAGTTGCTAACAGAGCGGCTGCTTTCACTCAGCGTGTCCACTTAATATTCTATCCATAGAAGATTAGAATGCCGATCACAGTGGCCGCGAGGTCTAAGGCATGTACTGTCTTCGCTCGCTCGAACTCTAGGACCGCGGGTTCGAATCCCATTCAAGACATTGATGTCGGTGTGAGTTTTCCTGTATTTGTGTTTCTCTGTAATTAGATAGCGGCCTTGCGACGGGCTGATCCCCCGTCCAAGGAGTCATCCCAACTGTGTATAAGATTAAGAAACTGAAAAAAGGCCAAGGTGTAACAAACTGACTGTAGATAGATAGATAGATAGATAGATAGATAGATAGATAGATAGATAGATAGATAGATAGATAGATAGATAGATAGATAGATAGATCAAAATATTTGAACCCATGAGAGAAGAAATAACAAGTGAATGCGGAAATCAGAATAAGGAGCTCCATAATTTGTACATTTCATCAGAGATGAGTAGGTTGATTAAACTAAACTGGATAGAATGAGTGTATCATATAGCACGCATGAGACAGATGAGAAATGCATACAAATGCTTTGGCCAGAAAACTTGAATGGAATGAACCATTTCTGAAACCTAAACAGAGATGGAAGGATAATATTAAAGTGGAAATGGAAACAACAGTGTGGCTGAAAGACAGTGACTAGTAGGTGAAACA